TACAACCGTATTTTCGGGCGGGAATTCTTAAAACAATTAACGCTACGTATTATAAATGTCATCAATTTGTCAAAATAAAATGTTTTAGAACATATAAAACTAAATAAAATAAAACCTTGAAATATAAACAAGGAAAGTAAACAAAATATTGCTAAAGTATATTTTAGATTGATTTTATGATCCATGTTAGAACTGGCCTATGGAAAATCTGACCGTAGCATATGCTACAGTTGCAACGGTCTAAATCCGCCCCTGATCTACTCATAGTTAATATGATCTACTGTAGTCCCACTCTAATACTCTATTGCTTTGCGTGGGCCTTATATGCGATAATTTAAATATGGTAATGTCGTCAAGTGTAATTCTATTACGTCATTAGCTATAGTCGTTACGTAGTTGTACGAGAGACAGTACCGCGCATGAGTTAACCAGTTGTACTGTTCATGTGAACCAGTGAGCACCCGCAATTTATCGTTCCGTTGGAACTTGGAATTCATCTTCTCAAGACGACGCCTATCTTTTCTGGATAAAAAGAGCTAAGTCGTTATCTTTTGTACTTTCTTTATCTTTATATTCGTATTATCTGTAGTAATAGCATGTCAGACACTGAACAAAATTTAGATGCTGGTGCGGTAGCGCCCTCACCAGACAATGCAATGTTATTCAACATGTTTTCCGAACTACAAAAAAGTATGGTAGAAACCACACAATTTTTAAGTGAACTACGCGCTGAACGCGCGTCAAAGACAGTCGATTCAGAAGAATCGCAAACGCCAGTCCCAGAGGAGGACACCACGCCAGCTTCAGAGGAAGCAAATACCGATACGCCAGCTTCAGAAGAAGTTCATACGCCAGCTTCAGAGGAAGCTAGTCCATCTGACCAAAGGGTCGTAAATGATGATACATTAAGCATTCTTGGCGGCGATGATTTTGACGATAATGAGGACCTTTTAGATGAAATTGATGAATCGTTACGGCCGTCAGACTCTATAGGCCCACCGATACATGAAAAAATCGCAAAAATTGTAAACGACAAATTTTCATCAGATCTCGGACTAGAGAAACGTAAGGAGATATTTGAAAAATATAAAACACCTGAAAATTGTCCAAAGCTTTTTGTACCAAAGGTTAATGAACCTATTTGGACGAGCCTCAAAGCTTTTCACCGACAGCGTGACTTACGCACAGCAGTCTTACAAGACTCTATTGTTCGAGTATCAAGCGCACTTTCTGTTACTGTTGACGAGCTACTAAAATGTAGAGAAAACAAGACATTGCCTGATTATCGTACTGTTGCCTCACGTCTTTTTGATTCAATTGCGCTTTTGGGCCATGTTAATACGGAATTATCCTATAAAAGACGGGATTCACTACGCCCATTACTCAGTAACGAATTAAAGCCTGCTTGTCACCGATCGAACAAACCCGAGAAATTTCTTTTTGGTGACGATCTGAGAAAATCAGTCAATGAGGGTAAATTGCATGGGAAATTCTTGCTGCGTGATTCATTCCCGTGCCAACGGTTTTTGCCTTATCCAAACCAAAAAAGGCGACATTTTTTACCAAAACGGGGGAGGGGTCAATTTCCTCCCTAGCAAACATTCCGTCCGTTCCGAAGCCAACAACAGAAGAGTCATTTCCGTCAATAAATAATCAGGTAATTGGTTTTCCGACATACTTTACCTCAAAAATCTTGCCAAATTTAAAAAGACTGATTGATCTATTTTAGTGGCGGCCAAATTAAATATTTTATTTCACAGTGGGAAGGTTTGACTTCTGACAAAAGTATACTACAGACTGTCAAAGGTGAAGTCATTGAGTTTATCGGAAACCCCCCAACATGTTCTATTTATCCAACAAACTCGATTTCAAAAGATCATGAAATTAAAATAGACGAAGAGATTTCTAAACTCTTGGCTAATAACGTCATTGTCAAAACTTCCCACGAACCAAGTCTCCCTATGTAAAGGAATCCGGATTCCAGAATCCAACAAAAATTTGCACTTCAGAATCCGGAATCCATGACATGGAATCCGGAATCCATTGACTCGGATCCGGAATCCATTATTTTAATCACGGAATACGGAATCCAGCTTTCATACTTTATAAAATATAATCGTTATATAGTGTGACACATCAAAACGTAACGTACGGTACGTGATCTCATTAAATTCATGCAATACAAGTATCCCCGCCTTATAAAAGTTACATGAAGTGATGTTTAATAATGAGAACAAACAAACTAACTCTGAATTATGCGCGTGGGCCCGACAGGAGCGGCCAAAATAGTCGAATCTTTAGTCGAATTACTGGTACGTTTGAAACAGTGACCGTTTACTGCTAGTTATAATGCAGTTTTTTACTGCCAGGCAGAGAAGTGAGAGAACTTAAAGCGTAGATGCTGTGCCATACATTAAGCATACTCTTGATAAACCAATTATTATTATATTATTTTTATTAGAATTTCCGTGAAATTGCTTTTTTAAGACACGTGAATTGGTGAAACAGCTTTTGTTTTTGTTGTGAAACGTGACCCTGATACCCCCCTTTTTTCCGCCCTCAGTGTCGTCCCTTTTATATCCCTTTGACATTTAAATATCATAAATATTTGGCGTTACCCTTGTTCTCAGGTATAATTTAATAGTACATACAGTAAAATATAAATAACCGATCGTTGTCATATTTGTCATCTTTAATATGAAGCTCTCTAGGTGAACCAGAATTATTAAAGGGGCAGTATGATCAAAATTTTTATTCTCTTAAACCAAAGCTTAAACGAAAAGCCTCGTAAAACTGTATAATAATTTGTTTGAAGAATTTTATTCTCATGCTTAGTTCTTGAGATATTTCATTTGTTTGTAATCATGTGACGTCATCTACTCAATTACATATATAATGAGATATCAGTAATTATTGTGTATCTTTGCTATTTTTAATCGATTTGTTAAAAAAACACAGTATGCTTAATGATGCAGGTTAAATTAACAAACGCGCCGCATCCTTGGAAATATTTTGATAAAAATAGCAAAGATACACAACAATTACTGATATCTCATTATATATGTAATTGAGTAGATCACGTCACATGGTTACAAACCAAATGAAATATCTCAAGAACTAAACATGGGAACCAAAATCTTCAAAACAAATTATTATACAGTTTTACGAGCACTTCCGTTTCAGAAAATAAAAATTTTGATCATACTGCCCCTTTAAAACGCCTGCAAAATGAGTGTACTCAGTACTCAGGCGTTTCAAAACTGCTTGTTATGGATGAGGACGTCGAAGGATCATTGTCACTTCAGCAATAGGGCTGATTCCACTCCAACAAGAAATGGCTAACCTTAGAATTGTACAGGAAGTTGTTACCTTTTTTGCTAATCTAGAGGACGAAGCTAGAGTTAGAACGGGGAAGCTAAATACAAACGGCCCAGACGTGGTCATACCGCGAACAACAAGACGATGCTTTGAAATTGTCTTAAACTCCCTCACCGGCATAGACGGATTTTCATATTTTTTACTGGGGTGGTGCCAGAAATTTTAGGGGGGTGAGCCGTGAGCAGGTGACTGAAGCAACACAAAGTGTCACCAAACCCCAGTAAGGTCTATATTCTAGGGGTGGAGCACTAGAGCCGCGAGGGGGAGTCTAGAGAGCAGAAAACAAAGTATCCCAGGAAAAATTTGAAAAAATCATGATTTCTAGCTTCGAAAAAGTTTTTTGAAGTTGTCATATCAATGGATTTGGCATGTCCGATTGTCTGTTGAGACTTGAGAGAGTTAAAGTTAAATGAACCTGTAAAAGTGTAAACCCAATAGGCCAATACACAATATGCTTTTACTTTTATAAAGTCATTTAATTGACATTGTGTCGTTTGAATCCGAGTACAATTTATGATGCAACTCCGATGTAAATAATATTTGGGGCGTAAAGATAAAATCTAGGCAAGTCTATTTCCTAAAAGAATTAAAAACTAAAAATAATGTTCGTAAAAATTCCAAACGTTCCTTGCAAGCAAGCTATTTGCATGACAAGGCACTGCAAACTCTATTCAGGGGAGATAAGTACTATTTAAAGCACGCATAGGAGTGTTTTATCACATATAAAACACGACGCGTAGCGAAGTGTTTTATATGTGATAAAACACGACTACAAGTGCTTTAAATGGCTTCAAAAACGACTCATCTTATACGAGTTCATTGGCGAAGTAATTTTTAAAATAAACTTTGTCTAAACCGAGAAAATCAAAGCTAAAGTTTATGTAAATTAACATGATTTTTATCACATATAAAACCACGACACGCTTATGATTTTTCTTTGTGTTTTCCTCCTGAATTATTAATGAGTTTTTGAATAGAGTTTTAAAACTTTACAATTGCTCCAAATAAACCAGTGAATTGCAAGCGAGGAGCGATTAGTTTCAGAGTATTGCACTGTCTTTTTCTATTTGAGTGTACTCCTACGTTTATTTTGTATCATCAACACTCTGCACGTTGGAGTGGACTATTTAATTATTTTTTATTATGCCAAATATTGGGGGGGGGGTTGAAAATTTTTTTGGAGGGGTGGACATTTTGTTTGGAGGGGTTATAGCTAATATTGGGGGGGGTTAGCACCCCCCTGCAACACCCCCCCCCCCACACACACAAAATCCGTCTATGCTCACCGGTCTACTAGCTAAACACGCTGATGGAATCAGTCACGAGGAATTGGCCAACAAGATTCGCTTCTCAAGCCTGACAACATTAAGCGTAGAAAGTTTCTTTAAAGGTATGCGTTGCAGAATACGCATACAAGCGAGCTGTGTTGAAGATAGCATGCTTTAAATTTACCAGAAACACTTCAGCTACTTCACTAGCTCATATTCGTTTTATCCCGAGAAGATTATGCACCTATCAATGTTAAGCCCGAGGGGGGGGGGGAGGGCGGGCGACATTAGGGGGTTTGACAAAGGATGCCATCCCCAATGTCGGGAATTTGCTGAGTGATGTTTGCCCGAGTTTGGGGACATTTGATAACACGCTGTGATCACAGAGTACATTTAATAAGGGACATTGGATCACTTTTTTGACAAAAAGGCCTGGTCACCAAATCTTCTCACGAGGTGTTGAGGTTTTCAAAGATGGCGGAAACAGCAAAGGTACGCAAAAACACGATTTCTCATGAATTATTAATTGTTTGAAAACATTCAAAGTCAATTTTTGCTTTTTGATGAAACCATTTAAATTGTGGAATGCAAATCATTCTAAGAATGTTATTGTTGTGGCAAATTCATTGGAAAAACTGAAACGTTTAAAAATTTGGTGTTTTACCGCGAAAAATTGTAAACAAACGTGCTAATTTATATATACTCTCCCTTCTACTAATAAACAGGATACATTAATGTGGGGTATTTGAACAGGAAGGAAAAAAGTAACCGGGGTATTTTGATGAGTTTGACAAGCGCGGATTTCTGAAATACGGGATGTTTGACAAAATATTTCAACAAAAATTCAAATCCCCTATTGTCGCCCGCCCTCCCCCCCCCTCTCGGGCTTAACATTGATAGGTGCATTATTAACGAAGAACCACCAAATTTGGCTGGCAGGGCAGCAAACAGTGGGGATGCCGATGAAGACAAACGATTGAAAAGAAGCAGAGTGATGAAAGATTTTATCCAAGAACATGGAGAGGAGTTCGACAAATAAATGTCCGATCAAAGACTAAAGAATTAACAGACAGGTACCTTGCCATACACCCTGAGTATCATGGCGTCCGCAAGTCATCTCAAATCCATCAGACATACCCGATGTAACAACTGCGTGTTTTGTTGTCGATGGTGCACATGGACGACAAAGCAAAAACAACGTAAGAGTGCGTGTGGTCTATTTAAAAGATGATGTAAATGCTGTTAGACATAATCGTAGGAGACAATTGTCCCCTTACCGGCTTGCCATGCTGATGCAAAATATTTATGTCGAATTGGTTACTAGAAAATACATGCATGAGCAACGCTGTAAAATTTCAGTGGTTTAATCAAACAACAGATCAAATGATTTGCACTTGCGGTGACATATCAATGGAAAACTCAGTTGAAATGTTATTTTATCTCCCAACGAAGACATCCAGTTGAGTAGACTTGTTAACGGGGATGATGCTAGTGAAGATGAAGAAGAGGAGGAGCAGGAGAGTGCCTGCTGAACCACAAGAAACAGGACCATTATATAATTAAGACTTGAAGGAATGAGCTCGTTAGGAAGAAGGACTATTCGTTTTATACTGCGTTAATGCTTCGTAATATTGACATTTAGTGTTTCTTGTTGTTATGTTGATGTAATAAGCTTTAATATCATGTTTCGTTTTTTAAAAGAGTTTGGAGGTTGCTGATGTACATGTATAAGACTATTGCATCTATGTTTACAGCAGTCTTTAGCAGTGTTAGGTCCTCTAATCTTACAAAATATAATAAAGCCTTATTTTGACGATGTTATACAGGTTAGTTGTTGAAATCGTTATAATAAGTAAATATTAGTCAAGGAATCCACTGACTATTATTAAGAAGGAATCCGGAATCCAAGGTTCAGGATCCGGAATCCACGGATCAGGATCCGGAATCCACGAGCCAGGATCCGGAATCTGACACAATCTTGGATTCCTTTACATAGGGCGAAACCAGGCGAGGTCATTTCGCCAATCTTTTCCGTTCCCAAGAAAGATGATAAGGTTCGACTTATCTTAAATCTCAAAAAATTTAATGAACATGTCAAATCATACCATTTTAAAATGGATTCCATTAACACCGCCTTATCACTTATGATAAAGGAATGTTGACTAGCATCCCTCGATCTCAAGGATGCGTATTATACTCTTGGTATACATAAGGACTATCAAAAGTTCTTAAAATTCTTTTATAAAGGAAAATTTTTCCAAAAAACTGTTTATCCAAATGGTTTATCAACATGTCCAGGAAACTTTACAAAACTACTTAAACCAGTCTTATGTACCTTACGAAAAAATGGTTATATACTTGTAATATTTATTGATGATATTTTGATCGTATCCACCTCATATGAGGGCTGTATTACATCAATTATTGAGGCTGTCAATCTCCTCACTAACTTAGGCTTTGTCGTTCATGTTGAGAAGTCAATGTTTTTCCCTCAACAGAAGATTGTGTTTTTGGGTTTTGAGCTCAATTCCGCAACAATGAAAATTAAGCTAACTAATGAGAAAATCACAAAAATAATGTCTCGTATTTCATGTATACTAAATTCAGACAGGTACACAATTCGGGAGGTAGCCCAAATTATTGGGTTACTTGTTTCCAGTTTCCCAGCCGTTCGATACGGAGAATGTCACTATCGAGCCATTGAGCAAGATAAGATTGAGGCATTAAAAATAGCAAAGGGAAACTTTGATAAATATATGCAATTGTCAACTGGTTCAATTGAAGAACTGAATTGGTGGTTATTGAATTTACCAAACTCTTATAACTTGATCCATCCCACTCCCGTAGATGTCAGTGCTAATTCAGACGCATCTCTCACGGGTTGGGGAGGTGTGCTGGATAGCTGTTCTACGGGAGGGTCTTGGACTGCAGTCTAAGCACAACAACATATAAATTATTTGGAATTGCTCGCTGCGTATTTCACTTTGAAAAGTTTTATAAACCACCTAAGAAATAAGCATGTAAAAGTCATGATTGATAACACATCGGCAGTGTCGGTAATTAATAATAAAGGCACAAATCACAGTGAGCAATGCAATGAGGTGACACATGAGATTTGGGCATGATGTGAAAAGCATGGAATTTGGCTCACCGCCGCCTACATTCCTGGTAAACTGAATATTCTTGCCGATAAAGAATCCAGAAACAAAAACCTTGACAATGAATGGATGCTTAATAAAAAATATTTGACTGAAGCTCTATCCAAACTATGTTTTTCACCTAATATTGATCTGTTTGCCTCTCGATTAAACAAACAGTTTGATACATACGTATCCTATAAACCAGACCCATATGCTAAGCATCTATGCCTTTACTATTTCCTGGGCATATGAAAAATTTTATTGTTTTCCTCCTTTCAGTTGCATTCTGAGAGCACTCGGGAAAATAATTCAAGACACAGCCACGGGCATTCTTGTGGTCCCCGACTGGCCAACACAGAGCTGGTATCCCCTCCTACTTCAATTTCTAGTGAAGCCTCCACATCGTCTATTGCCCAAAGCCGACCTCTTAGTCTTACCATCAGACCGGGACCACAAACATCCTCTCCACAAGAACTTGAACATTCTTATTTGTCATGTATCAGGAATAAACTACAAGTGAGGGGTTTCGCCACCGATACAATTGACATTATTCTCTGTTCTTGGCGAAAGGGAACTAAGACGCAATATCAGTCAACTGCAAAGAAATGCCGGGTTTGATTTTTGTCAGAAAAACAACTGTGATATCATTTCACCACCTTTGCCTCAGGCATTGTCATTTCTGTCCGACAGTTATTCAAATCTGGTTTGTCGTACAGTTCTATTAATACTGCTGGAAGTGTTCTTTCTTCAATTTTGTCCTAGGAGAGCAATCCTACTCCCTTCGGCCAACTGCCCATCGTTAAACGCTTTATGAAAGGTGTATATGAGTCCCGACCGTCTCTGCCAAGGTATTGCTCCACATGGAATGTCAATACTGTCTTCAATTATTTAAGACGTCAGCAAGCACCATCATTATTATCCATGAAAGATCTCAGTCAAAGAGTTGCTTTTCTCTTAGCCCTTCTCAGCGGACAGAGATGCCAAACAATCGGTAAATTATCAATAGACAATATGACAATGAAAGAGACAAAAATCACTTTTTTAATAGCAGATAAATTAAAACATTCTAGGCCTGGTGTTCATCAACAGCCACTAGTTTTTATGGCGTATGTTGCTGATCAAAAATTGTGTATCCTAACATATTTACAGGAATTTTTAAAACGAACATCACCCGTTCGTGGTGACAACAAGCAGCTTCTTATCAGTTTCGTGAAACCTTACAAACCCATCTCAACGGAAACAATCTCGCACTGGATAAAAAACTTCATGACAACTGCTGGTGTTGATACTACACAATATAAGAGTCATAGTACAGAGCAGCATCAACATCTCATTTAGCATCCCAACAATTTGACCTTAAAGATATCTTGAATGCAGCTGGGTGGTCAAAAGAAGAGACTTTCAAACGTTTTTACCATTTCAAAGATAACAATGAATTTAACTTTGGTAGTGCTATTATGAATACACTATCCTAATCAATTGCATGGTCTATTTGTATAATCAGTTTATTATGTGATATTTCCTTATACTGTACATTGTGTTTTTTCTTTCTTGCTGTTCATTCTTCGGATATAATATTGGTGCAATGCCAGCTTTAAATTCTCGTACAACTACGTAACGACTATAGCTAATGACGTAATAGAATTGGAAATTAAACGGGACTTACCTGTAAGTCGAAGTTTGATTGTAATTCTATAAGTCATTAGCGAGGAGTGGAGGAGTTGTAGGCACCCGTAAAATTACACCCAGGCCCGATTATCTCCTCCACTCCAGGCATTGTACCAATATTAATGCTCTAAATACTGGTTAACTCATGCGCGGTACTGTCTCTCCTACAACTCCTCCACTCCTCGCTAATGACTTATAGAATTACAATCAAACTTCGACTTACAGGTAAGTCTCGTTTAATTTCCAATTTCTCCTTCGTGAAAGAAGCGTGTTGAGTAAATGACGTCACATCCGGCTAAGAAATCGACCCTGTGTCGACACCATCAGTGGTCGACACCGCGCTAATTGCTGCCGCAGCGAGGTCGCCTGAAGCGACCGAGCAAGGCAGCAGATCCTAAACTTTGAAATGGGGGTTGAAATCTAAAGTTTAACCAAGCGCGATGCATTATGATCGCCGATATTTTTTATCATAATGCACTTCGGTCGGCTTCTTTAATCCTTCACGTAACTGTGGTGTGATGTACGTTCGATGATGAACAAGTGTTTGCCGAGACAAGTTGTAAATTCGAAGCGCTGTGACTGGGTTTCAAAGGCGAGCCTTTATTATAAAAGTTTTTGCTCTACTTTCAACATTTAATGTTAATATTATAACATCACTGTTGCTATTTATTGTGTCTATATATTATTGAGTGAAATATTCGACATGCATGAGCGCAGACTTCATATCGGATCGTATTACATTTCGGAATTTTACCAATAACATATTGCAGAGTTACGTCCTAAACAATAAACATCGGCACTCAACGAAAGTTTGTGGTGAGCCGAACCATATTAATATAGCTACGCTGTGTATTTATGTACTTAACATAATTGTTTCGCATGAGAAACTAAGCAGGAGTGAGAAATCGACGCTGTATGCGGACTTAGAACGCGCAATAATCAGCTTTATTTATCAAAGTTCAGAGGTCGGTTGCCGGCGGTCGCAAAACGTTTGTGTATACATTTAAAACATTTAATGGGCCAATTTTAGTAGAAACGTTAGTGGCTTACTTCTTCGCTGGTTGTTATATACTTTCAAATAATTTTGTATATACCGAGAAATCAATATTCCGAGAAAATAAATATATAAACAGGGATGTCACACTGATAGCTTGTTTATATTTCCTGAAGCATCAAATCTTATGTTTAACCACAGTGGTTTAACCCATTAGCTGGCAAGGCGCCCTTCCTTTGTCCAGCGCCAGACGATTTTACTCGTCAGTGGTATAGGGGCTATAGGGTATACTGCCAGTAAATTGGTTAACAACAATATGTCTCTTGTAAATCCATCAGCTATATTAATGACCCCTACTTTAGTATTTACCCTGTCCAACGCCAGACGATTTTTGAATCTACGAAGTAGATTATATGCTATCGACGTGTTAGCTGTTCACTGTTCACTGTTAACTTAGCCAATCAGCGACTAGTATTATAAAAAAATACGTAATTACAAATCACGGCTTTGGTCGCGAGACAATCGAGTATGGCGGTAAAGAGGGGTTAAAATTTATGATTTATATTTATTCACGCATTAAAATATGATGACTTGTCGATGGAAATGGAGCGAACCAACGTAAAATCTTGAAAGTACGTGTCTGTTTTGTAGTAGATGCTTGCTGTATATTTTGCAGCAATTTACGAAATAGTACGTGTTGGTTTTCGAAGCGTCTACCATGTTTCCTATTTAGAGTCATCTGGACACTTAACAGGCATTTGAATCCATTTTGGCGCTCGAATGAAGGCGAAATTTGGTAAAATATGAGCTACAGAATTATTTTAAAGTATAACAACCAGCGAAGAAGTAAGCCAGTAAAATTGGCCCATTAAATGTTTTAAATGTTTATAAACAAATTTTTTGCGACAGCCGACCTCTGAACTTTGATAAATAAAGCAAATTGCGCGTTCTAAGTCTGTATCATCAGCGCCGATTTCTCACTCCTGCTACATAAATACACAGCGTATATTAATATGGTTCGGCTCTCAGCACACTTTCGTTGAGTGCCGATGTTTATTGTTTAGGACGTAACTCTCCAAGATGTTGTTGTTAGAATTCCGAAATGTAATACGATCCGATATGAAGTCTGCGCTCATGTCGAATATTATTTCACTCAATGTAGATCAATGTAAACACAATAAAGTACTTCAGTGATGTATTTATACGTGATTCTTGTTTACGTTTAACTATCTTTTGTACTTATCCTATCTCTATTTCAACATATCATTTACGAACAATTGAAAATACTTTATTAGTCAATTGTATATTGATGTGTTTCATACAAATCTCTTGTTTCACGGCAGGAGCATTGACCTTATATATAGGTCAGTGGGCAGGAGTCTCTATTATTATGGCGTGTACGAATTCGTCACGCGAAAAACGCGTTCCGATTGTGCACGCATAAGACACAGTTACTGTGGGTTTTTACTGCGATGGATTTGCTAAGTGTGCAACTAAGTATCGTCCTACAATTAGAATTGTAAATATTTTATCCTGGAATAACCGTTTTAGCGCAAATTACTGGTATATCAATGACCTGTTTATGCACGCGTATATTATTTTCTGATTATGTTCTAGAGTAGCCAGTGCTTGGCGACCATTCACTTTTTAAAGTTGTCGATTGGCTACTGGGTAGGGTGGGGCAACGATTTATTCCTATTCGTAGATTCATGTATGCGTAGCGTACCTATTTTTAATACTCAGTCAGTGGTAGGGTACTGTCAATAAATGGGTTAACAAGGATAACAATAATAGGATGTTTCTGAAGGACTCGTTCAACACCCTGTAGTTTGTCTTTTGCTGTCAAAGGCAGCATTACTGCCCTGTGGGTAACCTAGTTGTTAACTCAGTAATGGCGGTCGAAAAAATTGCTTGTTTGCGTTGAAAAAAAAAGGCAGAAAGAAATGGAATTGGACGCTGATATTTGGTAACTTTGTTTATCTACTGATATACTTTCTGATATACAATAAAAAGACAGCACAATTTTCCATCGCAGTGGCACTTTAAGAGTGACTTTATTTGCGTCAAATTACATAAAACTTCTTGTAAAAAAGTTCACGCTATTTTAAGATAATCAAAACATCGTAACATGCAACCTCGTACTCGTGGATATTCAAAAATATGGTTTTGTATATCTAAATAAAAGCTACCAAAAGTTGTGTGTATAAGGTACAGTAGACAATGAAAATGCCATTTCCAACGAATCTAGAGACTCCATATTTTCAAAATTATACCGCTTGGCGCCAACTATGGTGTCGTCTTGTGGGTTCCGCAAAGCAAAATTTCACGGATGTTTTTTCCCAAAGTTGGCAACTGTGCCATATCTACAACTGCTTTAACGAGATTTTACAAATGAAGTTCCTCTAGTATATCGTCGTTTTCCGTCTCAGTCGAGACATACTTAATCAGTTTTAGCTTGAGCATGTAACGTGTAACGTTTTAATAATAACCCCCCCCCCAATTTATCTACGGATTTAGCCTTTTTCAGAGAATGGTTTTTGTGGCGATTGGGGGGGGGACGCACCCCCCCCCCCTGGCTAAAACCATAGATATAGGAGATCTACAGTCTGAAACAGACTGAATTTAGTTTTGCGTGATAACTCAATTTTTTTTAAATTTTCTTGCACGCTGGTAGTCTAAAAGATAGATATACACATTAATACTTGTTTTTCGAGCAATATATATGTTTGTTTGCAAGAAAAGCAAGCATTACAATGCCTATTTCAACTTGTCACATCCTAAAAATATACGCATGAAACGCATGAATTTACTTGTTGTTACATCTAAAATATATAATTTTCTTTTGCCAGAAGCGGGCAATATCATGTTACTTGGGCATAAAGGTCCAGACACATGCTTTGGGATTAAATTCAATTATGTAAATATCACGTTCAAGTGTTGCTGTATATAGGTACTTTGAATAGATGCCGTCATTTGCTCTATAGTTTATGAGCCTCAAACTTGCTTTTAAAATTCAAAATTTATCTTGAATTTTTTTATATGACGGTTAACCAAGTACAATCTTT